TGGAGCCCATGAAAACGCATGGCTACACAGCGCCTCTCTTTGTGGTTCAAGAGAAAAAGCGTGACCGCTTAGCGTCTCACTGTTTAACTTTGTGGCGGAAGGATGGACGGACGTACCTCCCTGGGAGCTCGTGGAGCAGGGAGCTCGCCCACCTGACCGACCTGACGGGATCGCCGAGCCCGGTGAATGGAGGCATGGGCGGCAACATTGTGCGTCGCGCACACGGAACCTTTTCTTCCGCGACCACGTGCTGCTGCCTTCTTTGCCGCCTTCCCACCGTGCGCTCCTGCGTTCCCAGGCCGGTCCGCACGCCGCTGCATGGTTCCAAGCTATCCCAAGCGACCCCCACACCTCGCTCACCCTTGAGGCAATGCAGATAGCGTTGCGCCGCAGGCTCCGGCAAGAGTTGGAGCCGGACCGGCTCCAACTCCCGCCTATGCGGCCGCCGTACGGATGCTTTTGCAGGTCATGCACTTGCATGCCCTCGCACCGGCCTCCTGGCAAGGCGGGCCAAACTTGTTGAGCGAGCCTGGTGCAAGGTCGCTCGCGAAGCCGTGGGGCCTGAGGGACACGTGGTGCCCCAACAATGGCTCGTCAACACCACCGCGCCAGGCATCGCGCCCGACGATATCGCAGGCGCCTCGACCTTGTCATCTACGGCGCCGCAGCATTGGGTGGTGCGCTATGCCGTGATGCGACCCTCGTTTCGCCTCTCACACGCGATGGCGAGCCCCACCCCGGCGCGGCCACCCAGGATGGAGCTGTTTTGCCCACCGCCTACCGGCGCAAGCGTGCCACCTACCCTCAGCTCGCGACAGGTGGCGCACAAGCCCTCTGCGTGCTCGGATGCGAGGTGGGTGGCCGGTGGAATGCTGACGCAGAGAAGCTGGTCCAACGCCTAGTCGCCCTCCGCGCACACCGAGCCCCACCGGCTGTGCGAGTGCGGCGAAGGCTGCTTGGGCCCGCCGTTGCTGCATCGTTCTTTCCGTAGCGGTTCAGCAGGCCGTTGCTCACACGGCGCTAGGACGTGCCCGGGCCATGCCGGGACCAGCACATACCGATGCGCCGGCCCTGGATGAAGTCCTCCACCTCGCCGACCCAGACGGGCCGAGCCGCCTGCCGCTGCGCGGAGCCGGCCCTAACACGGGACCGTGTTTTTGCTAGGATCGGGACCTTGCTGCTGACGGAAAAAGGCGGGTAAAAAAAAAACAAACACCACATGCACAGGCACTCTACTTGCCAGGAAACCTTGCCTGCACTGTGACATAAACATCTTTGCAGCACGAGCGCTCGTGCTTTGCTCGCAACGCGTGTTTCCCGGATGCATGCGTAAACCCATTGGAGCACGTCTTCGCTAATTTGCTGCCGACGGAATTTTTTTCTGTTTTTCTTCGCCAGCTACACGACCTAGTTAGCGTCTAGCTCCAGGGCCTGTTCGCAGGCTGCCACCAGCAACTCACCCAACGGCACCTCTTGGTCGTTGGTTGGGTCACAGGGCCCCGCGATGGGCAGCTCAAGGAGCGAGCAGGCGTGTGCCCGGAGACATGCGAAGGAGGCCAAGGCTTTCCAGCGCTGGTTGAGGGCTTGTCGAGCGGCTGCGGCGCACAACGGCGCCCGCTGGCGAGCTCGCCTGCGCGAGCAGTCGCACGCGCGAGCAGTCGCAAGAACAGCGTGCTGCGGCTGACCCGCCCGCCAACTTCCACGCCGAAAACGACCAGGGGGCAGCGCCGAGCTTGCCGCAGTTCCGGGTAGGCTCGGTGTTGGCGGGCGACCCGGTCCAGGGCGAGGCCCGGTTGATGGTCAGCCGGTTAAAATCGCGGAGGGCGACGTGCGATGCCACTCAAGCTCCCGCCTCCTTGCAGTTGCGTGCAGCCGCTCGCTCAAGGGGGCCAGCTTGGCGGGCAGCACGCCCACATGGGCGCAGGCCGAGCGATGGTCGCCGTACACATCCAAGCGTCCTCGACAGGGGCAGCGCTGCGGGGCGAGAGGGAGGGGCAAACGGAGTCTGCGGAGTGCGGAGGACCATGATTCGGTACTCTGCGTCCGGCACCCGGGTGTCGGCGCTCGTTGGAAGATCGGGTTGGCAACGTGCGGCATCGAAAGCACTGGACCCGCGCGTGATCGAGACGCTCTTCAACGACATCGACCCACGTCTCGGGCGCTGCTGCTGTCACAAGCTGGCGATGCAGCGAGCTGCGCCCTCACGGCCCTCCCACCTGGAGCACGTCGGTTTGGGTGTGGAGCTGGCGACACCGCATCTTCCTCCAGCAGTCTCGCCCATGTTGGCGTTGAGAAGCCTTCGGAGCGCAGGAAGCGGGCAGCTTGTTCCGCTGCTCGCGTGCTGGGGGGTGTGCCGCTCGCCGTTGCGTCCAGCAGCGGGCGGAGGAGGGCGGCGAGTACACCCGGTTGGTGTTCGCGCAGAGAGCGCCCACGAACTCCAGTATAGGCGGCGTGGCGTAGTCGCTCGGCAGATCCCAGCCCCCAAGCCCCCCATGCGCAGTGGGAGTTGGGCGCGGCAGTAGCTGGGGTCTGGCAGCGGCATGTCGCCATCACCGCCCGCCAGAGCGTTGCCAGGCAGCGCCGGATGGCGGCATCGTGCTTGGCAGCGAAGTCAGCGGTGTCTGCCGGCGGTAAGGTTCGGGGCAAATACGTGCTGCGGGGTGCTGCGAGCAGAAGGAGCAACGCGGACTGCTGTTCAGGCACCCACGGGATCCGCAGCAACAGGCGGTCCTGCTCCTGCAGTCGTTGGGCGAATTTCGCGGCGATGAAGTCGCGGCTGTTATCGGGGCTGCCCAGGACCACCACGCCTTGCTGGGTAGTTGGGGGGGCCCCGGTTCCCCGTGCAGCAGGGGTTCTCGGGATCCTGCGGGGGAAGCACATCAAGGAGTCTTCAAGGAGTCCCGGGGGTTCCTCGCCCGCGCTGTTCCACGCACGTGTTTTGCCGAGGTGCACCTGGATGTTGGCATGTCGTGCGAGGGCTTCCCGCACGACGGCGAACTGGCCGGCCGTGTGCTCAGGGGGTACCGCGACGTAGATATGCAGCCGGGATCAAGGCTCCGTCTCACGACATGCACAGTGTACAGCATGTCAGAGAGCATGTACCCGCGGGCATGACAGATACATATGCTCAGAGGTTTCGAAAACATCATCGTGGCAGAAATTACTGTGTGCATACTGGCCTGGCTGGGTTTGGCATATGCTGCATTATTACATTATGCTTGTCGCTGCTCTTTCGGTTCAAGAGCAGGAGTTGTGCAGTGGGTTTGGTTTCTCTTACCCGCCCGCCGCTCCCTTGCTTCGTTTGCTGGCCTTTCGGCCCTCCAATTGCTTATCTCTCGGGCTTTGCTGGGGGTCCCAGCCGCCTCTGTGCGATTTGACAGCCTTTTTCACACGAGTGCTGGAGATTTTGATCGTTCCGTGGATCTCTGCTTGGCATTGTGCCAGTGGTCATTGTGCCATTACTCTTCGGACGATCCGTCTCCAATGTTCCCTTCAGTGCGCGTCTGACTACTCACAGCACGGCGATTGCACAAAGTCGGAGCGAGTTCTCAGCCTTTTATGCACTGCGCTAAACATAAAGAGTACATTGGGGCCGGCATGGACGCGTTGTCTGGAGAAGTGGCTTTTGCAAGTTCAACTGATCCCATGCTTGCAATTTAGGCCTTGAGCTGTTTTGTGGATACGTCGTCACATCCATGACGGACCAGCAGGAATTTGAGCTGTAGAGGCCAGGATTCGGCAAACTTGACGATTTCTTTCTCCAGGCATACCTGGGATCCAAACGATCTCGACTTCGCAACATCAGGGCTCGCACACATGCTGCCGGCGACAGCCGCTCTTGAATCCCAAGTTCAAGCCATCATGACAATGCGAGGCGAAAGCTGGTGGGCCCCACCATCAACTTCCTCGTCGAATGAGACGCCAAGTTGAACTGCCTCGTTGCAACAGTTTACCTTCCGCCCTTGGAGCATCACTGGCGCTCGCTGTGAGAACCCTGACGCAACGATCGAACACTTGCTTGGCTTGTACCTGTATTCCTCCGATGCAGCAACATGTTATTGCAAAAGATTCACAGCTCCCGTAGCATGTTCATGTGAAGCCACTGGGATTCTGGTATCATCCATGAAAGATCGAATCTGCGCGATGTTGAACAGTGGAGCTGCAATTTATCGATTTGTTTTAAAACGTTTGTTGCCGCAGAGTGCTTGGGTATGCCGAGATACTCCTCTTGCAGCCACTATGTTCAGAGCACCATGGGTGGGCGCAAGAAGCTGCTCGGGACGGTCCAGGCCACATCTTGGCCTGTGTGAGTCTGTTTATCCAGTCTGGTGGCACTGTTGCAGGCGGATATTGGTGATGGCCGTTTTTTCTGTTATTATTGCGACCGCGAGCGACTGACTCAAAGCAGTGTCGCGGACTGACATGTGGAGCTTGATGCCGTGCAACCAACCGATTCTAGTAGGTTCGATGATGTCAAGTCGTTGGTGCATCATCAGCGCGGCTGCCTCATTATCTTCGGCATGCCGCCGCTCGTGTATGCCTTCCGTCAGGACTGCGACATTTCTGTTGCAAAGAAAGCGGCCGCTCTTTGACAGCAACAGAGCATCAATTCGTGACGGAGTTTCAATTTGTATTCCTTCTTGCTTGCCTCCGATCGATGTTGTCAGGAACCTTTGATTCAATCACCGGGCTGCGTGTGCACATGTCGCGCTGCCAGACGTACGGGTGTCCGCGTCGTGCTGGTGCTTGGAAAACTGGTGGCCTGTTGTCGACAAGGCTGAATGCTTTCAAGAAGAGTTTGAAGGAAGTCCCAAACTCCATGCAGTAAGCTTACTGCAGTGCATGTTGAATGCTCATCGCCAGTCCACCGTAGATGTTTTACAACTGAGGACTGGCCGGGAAAATCCAGATGTTGATGTGCGTGGCGCGAGACATACTTTGACATGTGTGGATTTTGAAAATAAACACAAGCTTCCAAGCTTGGATAGGCATGGACGGGCTTCCGAAAGGCATCCTGGAAGAAAGGCGGTGAAATTGGATGCATAATCGGCTTGCCCGCAAGCAAGATTGCTTCCGGCATGAACGCGCAAGCAGTTGCCTCACAGTGCTGCAGACGTCAACGTTTGCTGGCAAATGAGCCGGACGACGATGATGAGGCTACAAAGCCCGAGGCGAATCACCAGGGTAGGTTTCTGTGTGAAAGCAGCGCCCGATCTTTCACGAAGCTGTGTCGACACAGGCCACAGGCAGACCAAAAGGTGCCAGACTTAGTTGTCGTGATCGGAATCGCTCGAATGTGGTAGTGCAGGCAGGTGGCTATAGCATGTGCAGGTGCGGGAGACAAGGCCGACGCAAACAGCCTTCTCCCTGGAGTTCAGCAGCCGCTGCAGACATGAACAAGTAACATGTAAATGGTGCGCGTTTCTGGCAGTGGGCAAAATGGGCACAACGATTCATGTCGAAACCGAACAATATCCATGTTGCGCATGGGTTGAACATGCTCCAGGGTGATTCAGTACGGGGTTGAAGAAGGCTACAAACGGTGGATTTATTCTCGCATGGATTGCGGGTTGATGGCAGCTGTATGTGCTGATTTTCGCCGATTCGAAGAAGTCGGTGTAAGACAAACGATGGACGATTGACAGACCAAACGGTGGTACTTGCATTGTGACTCGTTTCTGCCCCACGAAATCCAGATGTACAACTGTACAGTCTACGATGATGGGTACTCATTCACGATTGTTTCGGTATGGTTGTCCCGCCACGAGGCCTGGAAGCAATGCCATGAGAAAGTTACACAAGCTTTCACATCATGGCATGATGCAGTCTTACGCTCGCGACTGTCAAAGCAGACCTTGAATGAGCTGTCGCGACTTGGCTTTAATGTGTTTTCCCCAAACAGGCACTGTTTGGGGTTCTCTCCTCAGAGAAAAGGTGGGCCGCGGTGGCTGGATGGGTGGGCTGCGGCCACGGGGCTGGGCTCCCATTGGGCTCCCTTCATGTTTCGGCGACGGGGTGGGCTCCCATTGGGCTCCCTTCATCAATGGCTCCCTTCATGTTCTTTTTTTGGGCTCCCTTCATGTTTCCTGTCTGGGGTGCTGGGTCGGATGGGTGGGCCGCGGCGACGGGGCTGGGCTCCCATTCGGCTCCTTCGTTCTGGGCTCCTGAATCGGATGGGTGGGCCGCGGCAACGGGGTGGGCTTCCATTCTCCCTTCATGTTTGCTTTTTGGGCTCCCTTCATGCTTCTCGTCTGGGCTCCTAAGTCGGATGGGTGGGCTGCGGTGACGGTGGGCTCCCATTGGGCTCCCTTCATCAATGGGCTCCCTTCATGTTTCTGTTTTGGGTTTCCTTTCTGGGCTCGTGGGTCGGATGGGTGGGCCATGGCGACGGGGCTGGCTTTCTGCTATGTTTTTTTTCTTTGTCGTGCGAATGTCATCACCACCCACTCTGCTTTTGCACAAACATATTTCCCAGTGCCTAAACATTTGTTTCGTAGCATCTGCTGACGAAGCCAGTTTGGGTTCCCCAACTTGAACCGGCATGATTCGATGCATTCTGTTTGGGGTCTTCGCTGCTGTAACATGCATTTTTTAGTAGGAGCAAACAAATCATGTGCCAAGCCGCGGCTTTCTTGCAATACACAAACCATTGATTGATCAACCCGCCGGAGAAACACAAACATCAATGCATATTGTAGCCACCAAAAAAGGGAAGCGACCTGCCTCAAGGCGCGTTTCGTGCTCAGTCTTCGTGTTGACATTAGGTCCAACCGACGCACAGTCGGACAAAGAGTACGCCGCCGAGTTGAACACGTGCTTATGTGCAGATTGTGGCGTATGATCGATAAACTTGACTCTTGACTTGTAACTTCACCCGTATGCTGCGATTGCCGTAGACCGAAACTGCCGCCGCCAGAGACTCGCAGCTCCGAGTGACGTTCTCAGTTTCGATTTGCATCACCTGGCTGATGGCTCTGTCGGCAGGGGCATCATATCCCAGCACATTCCAGCAGTTTGTTTGTAGTGAAGGCCCCAGCTCACAAAACCAGCCAAGCGCCCGGACGTCTCCTCGGAGTGTTGCCCGAAGCACACACTTGGTTCCAGGTTGGTCACGGCCAGGAGGACCTGACAGGCCCATGCCTCTCGGTGCATGACGAGTTTCTTCTGGGACCCGGTGCCTGAACAGGCCCATCTTCACATCCAGTATGGTTCGGGCGCTCATCATACAACTCTGCATGGATTCGCAGTGGAATTCCATTCTGTTTGTGTTTTGGACTGAGGTTGACAGCCGAGGCGACAGTACGCATGATTCGTACAGTCGTTGGCAGCAGCTTTTTGCAAACAAGGCAGACGCTGGAGATCTTCCGGTGGCCCGGAACTCGGAGGTTGAATCTTGACCAGAACCCAGCTCAAGAAGAACACCATGGCATTTGTGCAGCGTGACGTCTTTTGTGGAGACTTTTCTGTCATTTGGTTAACGCACAAGAGGGTACCATGGGGACTAGCACCCGGAGGAAACTTGTTTGCGATCGACGGGAGGGTAATCAGTAAAGCTCATGATTGTTTACTTGTGATACTTGCCAGCACATGTCGTATGATGATGCCTTCATGTTTCCGTCTCTTTTTTGGTCGCTTGATGCGCCCTGCAGGCCTTGAAATGCCTGGTTGAAGGTCAAGCGGACACGAATGGATCGTCCTCGAACCCAGATCGTTTGTCGCATGCAAACGTGACATTGATGGACTTTGTTGGATTCGCATTCCTCCACAGCTGTTCTGGCTTGTAGTCCCCGTGGACCTGTCATGTTCAGCTGCATGTAGCTGCATGATGGATGCCATGGGCCAGGGGTCTCGCTCCAAAGATGCGCACGACATGGCCGTTCCGGGCGAGCGGCAGGTTCTCAACCGCTGCTCTGTATCATTGCCCAAACGGTGAGGTAACACTAGTAGGGCTACGGGCCGTGCCGGGATAGATTACTGATGGCTGTGCCGGGTCGGAGTGTGGTCCCCTCTGTGGTCTTTTGGTGTTTGGGTCCGTGGTCGCTTGCACTTGGGTGTGCTTGCAATGTTTAGTGTCGAGTAGTTTGTCCAGGCTGCCGAAGATGCACCGCCGCGGTCCTCCGAACGAGACGTCTTTTTCGACCAGGACCCTGTAAGGCAGCCAGGGCCATTCAGGAGTTATCAATCTTACTGTACATCCTCTTCACAGGAGCTGGACGCTTACTTACATCGACACTGTGCCGAGCTGAAGGTAGGGGCTGTGTGCGTGTTTTGCTGTGCACGTGGGTGTTGGGGACTCAGCTTCACAGGAGCTTCTGCAAGAGTTTCTGGCGAGCAAGCACCAGCCGGGGAGCTGCCTCGGTGTTGTGCTTGCCTCATTGAGCGTCTTCGGAGCACCCCCGGGCGCGGCCCTTCCAAACAGGTTTCCAGCCCCGGGACGGTCTCCGATGTGAAGTGGATCGAACATATCGAGGCACCTGAAATTTCGCTTGCCCTTAATCATAGGCAGAAAGTGGGAGCGTAATTTCAGGTTTAGGGTCAGGGAATCGGTGTGTGTTTGTGAAACTTTCTGGCTCAGAGCGTGAGGTAATGGCCGTTTGACTTTTTGAAGTTTCGGGTTTAGGAAGTGCAGGGGATGCACGACTTGGACTGAGCCCAAGTCATGCATCACAGGATATGACCGAATGAGCTGCAAACAACGGCCCCGGTGTTCGGTATTCCCAGGCTAAGGCTCTGCGCTTGGCAAAGCGTTCTTGCAGAGGTGTGAAGGATTGACCAACACTTGGCATTCGCAACAGCATCTGCAGCCAAAACAGGGCAGCAAGCTTCTGTCGAGCAGCTGCTCAATCACTGAATCGGCCTCGTTAGAGAGTGCGTGTGTGGTCGTCATATTCCAGGGATAAATGGGGTCATGCCCACCTAACATGTCATGCAGTGCTTGCAAATTTCTGGCACAGTTCTTTACTTCACACAACCTGCAGGGGAGTGGTGCTCTTGCGTCTTAGCACACTCATGTGGAAGCAAGTGGGCAGCTGCACCTGACCGGTAATGTGAACCGGCAATACAAGGCTGGGACAACAGCATGACCGCAGCACGAAGCTGTCACCTTATGGGTGTAGCAGTGAGATTCCAAGCCTAAAGGCCAGGGCGGGTTCACGTTTCACTAAGCTTCCAAAACTACGGACGTAGCGCAGGGGCTCGTTGGATTAAAAACCCCTTCACTCCTCGCTGTCCCGCTGCGTGTCGGTGTTCTGCGGGTACCCACCGCGCCGGAATGAGCTTCCGAATTTGAATTGCCGGGTGAAGGGGTCCAGAGTGGTGGAGCTCAAGCATCAGTTTGGTCGAGCATGTCGGCGCGAAAGAGTGAAGAGATGAGAGGAGCTTTGAAGCCCTGAAGCAGGTTACGCTCAAAAATGCCAACGACGTCTTGCCAGAATGCAGGGGTGTTTGCGTTTGCCAAGTCAAAGGGCATGGCCGCTTGCTTAGCATATTGCGCAGCGTTCAAGGCAAGGTTGGAAGCCGTCCGTTTACTAAATTTACATCAATTTACTGTGGCTTGTGCTTTTGGCCTTAAGGATCGGATATTTGCTATCTGGATGTGGGGAAAGAGGCAGCAGCTGAAGCGGTTGGAATCCTGCGTGACAAAGTGAAGGGCGACACGATCCACATCTCACTTTTTCAGGCCTGGCGGCCTGGTGCTGTAATACAAGCGGCTTGTGTTCCTTGCGTTCCTTGCCTTCTTGCTTCTTGTTTCCATGAGGAAGCACCTGTTTCGGAAAATTTGCTGGGCAGCCTCACCTTGGACCCCGAGAGCATGCGGGCTGGACGTGCCAGCACAGTCAAGAAGCTTGGACCCAACGTGTGCGGCATGGCTCCTGCCGATGTTGTATACGACAGCATGGAGTGCCGTGCAGGCTGCCGCTGGTGTCTGGTGGCGAGGCCAGCATGGCACATGGCTTGAGCGCAGAAGAAACAACCCAAATCGCAGGCGCAACTTCTTCTCGAAGTCGCGGAAGCCTCTTCGTCCACGGCCCCGGGCTTCGGGAAGACTTGTGCAAGTCCAGCCGTGTCGTGTAGGGTTTAGGGGAGATGCCCAGGCTCAGGAGTTGTCCAAAAACCAGGCTCGCTGGCATGTCGCGACAGTGTCGCAACCGGACCTAGGCTCGGTGTGTGCAGGGCCGCAGGTGGCAGCTCCTTGACGACAACCTGACGCAAAAAGTGGGAATCAAAGCCGAGTGCCGAGCTGAGCGCAAGGTGCAGTGGTGACATCTCAAGCGTACGCTTGTTAAGCTGCTGAGCCGGATGTTGAGGTCCTCCTCTGCCACATTAGGACAGGATCCAAGAAAAGGCATCGGGGTATGCAGAACAGTCAGCACCTGCTCCTTGCGGATGCAAGCTGAAATGTCTCTTCAGCCAAGCTGCAAACGTGCTTCCTGCAAGGACAGTGCCAGGAGCAACCCGAAAGGGAAAACTTCGCGTTGCAGATTGTCAAGAGCCAGTGGTTCGATCGCCTTTGTGTCGGCATCTTACAGTTGGCGCGCAAGTGATGCCACTGCTCCCGTGTAAGATACGTGAAATGCTTGAGTGTGCTCAGGCCCTTCTGATTGTCATCAATGCGGTGAGTATTGGTCTTGAGGTGGAGCTCGTGGCAAACAACGTGGTGCCTGCATCCTCCATCGCATTCCGCACCTCGCAGATCCTGTTTGCTTTGCTATTTGGTCTTGAGCTCGCCCTTCGCATGCTGGCTTATGGCGGTCGTTTTTTCTCAGATCGCATTGACAAGCCGTGGAACCTGTTCGACGCGCTCATCGTGTCATTTTCCACAGCTGAAATTGTGCTCAGCCTGTTCATCAGGGATAGCACTGCGACCTTGTCGGTGGCGCGTTTTGCTCGAATCATACGAGTGGCTCGGATCATTCGGGTGACTCGCTTCTTCCGACAGCTTCGAACATTAGTATACACCATACTTCACACTCTGACATCTCTGTTTTGGACCGTCCTAGTGATGGTCATCATTATCTATCTTTTCTCGGTTGGCATCACAGCGGCTGTCTCGGAGCACTTGCAGCGACAGCCCGAACACACCGTCACTTGACTGAACCTTCTGTGACGGTTTCGGAGTTTGAGGGCCCGGGTCCACAAGGTCCTGTTAGTTTTGGGACTTCGTTTCAGAGGCGACGCCCCGTTCGGGTCGGAAGTCACGAAATGTAGCGGCCGTGTCAAGAGCAGCTCCGGATCATCAAAGAAGCTACAGATTTGTGCAGGAGAAACCGACGTTGCTGCACCAGCGGACCTTGCACTTCCCAAGTACACTAGACTCAGTTTCAGTGCCCCTCAAATGGATGGACCCTCACGTCCAGGCGCAGAGGGATCGACTTTGGGAGGACTTCGGCACGATCGCCCGAACAGCTTACACTTTGTTCAAAGCAGTTTCAGGCGGTGTGAGCTGGGGAGAGCCAGAAGCCTGAGCTGAACAGTGGCACAGTGATTTCAGTTTGAGATGCTTTGTACAGACAGACGACATCGTCCGTGTTGTCTAGTCTAGTGACCGTGTGTGTGATTTGGGCCGGAGTTGGGCAATCTCAGGCGGCGGATCTCCTTCCTGTGGGACCTCTGTACTTGTTCTTGCATCGTGTCTGAACTACGATCATGGCCGTTTGCGGGTTTCCTTTCCAACATCGCACGCAGAGAGAATGTCAGTCATGCGTGGGGCCATCGAATAGGGAACTCCAGGTCAGGGCATTGGGTCCCGCTTCGGGGCTTTGGGCTCCAGAGGTGTTGGTTCAGTGTTTCGTTCTGGGGTTTGGGTAAGGCCAGCGGTTTGGTTCAAACCTGGTTCAAGATTCAGAGTTGGATCTCATCTCCAGCATTTGATACTGGGGTTTTGGATGAAGGGCTTCAGTGTTCTGTTTTGGGCCCCAAATCTGCGAAAAGTTTCGGCTGGTTTGGAACAGTTCGATGTCCAAAAAGCAAAAGCTTAAGATATTGCAGGTTACGTTCAAACCAGTCCGCACATATGGTTTAGATGCCTTAACCGTTAACCACAACAGACAAACATTGACACTGCATTGACGCGTAGTCAAACAGGCTATCAACCAAGCTCCCTTCCGACCTCTCATGATCAGTTTACGATGCTACAAATCTACCACACCGATCCAGCAAGCCCTCTACACAACGTTGTGTTTGCTGCTGCCGTCAATGATAGACTTATCTATAAAACATGGCTCCACCACGTTACCAGAACACACTTTCCAGGTCCTAGTTCAGGTCTCCTAAACCCCTAAGAATTCTCACTGGAAGTATGGTTCCAGCACTCGCAGTGTTTGGGCTGTTCGGGAAGACCGTTTCACGCTCGAGGCGTCGCTGCAGCTGAGTAGAGAAACTGGTCTTGCTTCCCGGGGCCAGCGTGCCTTCCTTAGCTCCCTTCCCCCAGTAGCGAGAGAAACCCCCTTGCTGCATTGTTTCCCTTTGAGTCGGAGCTCTTCTCCATTATCCCAGTCTGCGATTCCTTGGGTCGCTTCATCTCGCGGGTCTCTCTCCCGATGCACGCAAGCAGATTCTGAGGTTCATGCGGCCTTGGCCATTCGTAGCCGCTTCGGAGTCTCGGGACTTCTCCTTCAGTTTTTTCCGCGAGCTTTCGAGTGCTTCAAGGGTTCTTGTCGCACCTGAGCCCGTTCTCCCTGCTTTGACTGGGGTCCTCGATCTCGACGAAGAACCCTGGATTGGACAGAAGGGACGTATCTTCTCGACTTCGTTCCATCCTCCCGAATCCTCCCTGGAACCTTCATTGGCCTTTGGCGCAGGCCCCTCTTGGATGTCTATCTGCCTTTGCGACTTGCAATCCTTGGAGGATTGGGGCGCCTCGTGAGTAGCTCGCAGCGGTCGTGCACTTTGACCCTTCATTTCGCCGTCCCCTGTTCGCCACCTTCTGCGGCACGTATTTGGGTCTGTCACTTCCGCACCGAATCCGTCCGGCACCTGTACATTGTGCTCTCTACGGCAAACTTCCGGGCTTCGTTGTGTCTCAGCGTCTGTGCGTTGCCTGGTTTCAGCGTAGGGTTCCGTTCTTGTTTCACATAGTTCTTGTCCGACAGTCACGAAAGCATCAGACTTTTGGTCTGCTTCCGCCCGAGTGTCACGGAAGTGCAGACGTCCGGGCTTTTGCGCAACGGTGCCAAAAGAAGGACACTGCTGTTCTTTAGGGTAACGGGTCAGTTTGCCCGAGCCCCTACCATCTTCTGTACCCGAGAGGCTCGGAATGCAACTTGTTGGTTTAATGTCTTTGCGTGAGAATCTGCCTGCTAGCATGTCGAGATTGCCAAGGTTGTTGATCTACGTCATGTTCATGCTTTTCTGCATGGCGAACGTGGTTACAGGTTTTTTTTTTGCGAGCATGCCTTCGAGATGGCACAAGCAGACAAAGATCAAGTTATTATGGACCAGATCCGGTTGCGGGAAGACCATATCCAAGCCTTCAAAACGATGTTTGGGCATGTGGACGTCGAAGAAGAAGAAAGCATAACCTTTGATCAGCTGGAAGTTCTTCTGAGTCGCGAAGACATGCAAGCGTATTTGTCCCACTTGGACATTACTGTCGAGTCCACCGGGAGCATGTTCAAACTTTTGGATACAGATGGCAGCGGAGAGTTGTCGATAGAGGTGCTTGCATGGAAGGGTCTTGCTCCAGTAGGCCCAGCGGTCTTCTTGCCGGTTGTCGCATACCAACGTTGGCAGGAGTTTGTGGATGGCCTTTTGAGGCTGAAGGGGCAGGCGATTCTGTCCAGCTTCAAGAGTTTAATGTAGTCTGCCTGATAGGAACGCGTCGGTTGGTGTCGATTCTGTGGTTCTCTCAAGTGAGGCCTGCACCCGTCGCAGGCGAAGACGATTGATTTGGTCGGCATCAGTTACGACATCCGGCGGCAAGCTGTCGTCATGGCCGAGTTTATGGATTTCGTGGAAGAGCAGTTCGAAGAGGTTTTGGCTAGACGACCTGCCACCGGTCGACCAGGCAGCTTGCTTCCCATGTTCTGCAAGTGACACATGAACTTTTGTGCGTGTGTGGATTAAGCTTGAACCCCACCATATTTACTCATGTTGTGAGTCGTGAGGCAGCCCAGTGACGAATCGAAAGTCCACGCAGTCCTCTCGAAGAACCTTGTCTTCGGGACGTCGAGCGGTAATGGTCGCAACACGTTCCAGGAAGACCCAGCTGCAGTGACAATTGCCCGCGAACTTAAAAGAGGCTTCTTTGTGACAACATGGGGGCGATGCCCACTCAATCGCACGTCTAGTGGCAGTTTCAACGATCTTTAGCAGCCTGGGGCATGCGAGAACCCTGACTGCAACAGATGAGTTCCAGACACAGGTACGACACGGGCCAGGAGGTGCCGAGTGCACTGGCTATCAGCTTACTGGCTCCAGCAGCAAGAGTTGAACAATGCAGACAGCTGGATGAGGCCTGTCTCCATTCTCTTGCAGTGCAAGCTCTAGCACCGTGCCCAGACTGCTAAAGCGTTATTGTTGCAGAGTCGTAGAAGCTCGAGCTAGCGACTGGAATTTGCGCAGTCGTGGATTCCTCGGCAGACCCAGGCCTCAGTTGGCTTGCTGCATGGCGCATATCTGCCTGCCCGGGTGACCGTCCCATGCCTCAAGTAAACTTGGTTTCAGTGGGCACCGAGAAGTAGACAGCTTGAGAGACAGCTTCCGCCATCCGGCTTGAAGGATCTCCTCGAAGCGGCTGTGGTGCGAAGACTTGAACCAGAGCAGAAACTGCTTGAGCAGAAGCTGTTGACTCGGACTCTTTAGATGCGTGATACCTGGTTGAATCAAACTTTGGTGCTGGAAATCAGGACCTTAAACACTCCAATGGGACCATCGCTGGCAGGTGAGCTATTGAGTGCGGCTATTGCGGTGTGAATGTTAGTCGTTGGCACTCACGGTGGAGTGTCCACACCCTTCCGGTAAGGATCCCACACCTCTGAATCAGACTAAGTGTCTAGCTTGCTCTGAGTCTCAAATGTGGCTGGCGCTATGAACACGGTTTCGGTCTGGGTCAACAGCAGCCAGTGTTTTTCTGCTGTACGACGCCGTTACCACGCATGAGCAACACCCTTCACATTTGTTCCTTATGATGCCGCGCCACCACCGCCGCAGCAGCAGGAGCAGGACCAGGAGCAGGAGCAGGAGGGGGAGGAGGACACTCAAATTCGAGGAAGCTTGCTGCACATAGTGTTCGAGCAGTCGCTGTTACTGTACTGGTGCGGTCAACCGTGGTGCGGCACAATGCGGCAGCAGTGGGAAGTCGCCCTTTGCGAACATGTTGCGCGGCGAGCTCGCTGTGTATGTGATGTGCAGGCGCACCTCTCCCACCGTACGGTTCTCAGAAGTGTGGCCTTCACTTGCAGAGGAAGCCACTGTGTACATAGATTTGAACGCTTGTGCTGAGCAGCAAACTGACCCGAATGCGATGCTTCGCACAAGAAGAGCCGACAAACCCTCAGACGACATTTAGCCGGAAAGTGCCAGTGGAGCATGTTCTTACGCATACCGAGTCTGCTTTCCTTTCATCCCTCGGAGCCATGTCGACCTACACCGAGCTGGAACACTTCAGCAGTGGTGGATGGCTGACCTCAGCAGCAACGGTGCCCCAGATTCGGAAAACCTCTGCCAACGCCTCCTTTCTTAGTCTGGGCGGTTTGGCGGGTGCTGCTGCTGGTGCTGCCACTTCGGCTGCTGGCCCTTTGGGCGGGGCCGTGGGCGGTCTTACTGGTGGGCTTTCTGGGAAGTCTGGCTCTGGTCAGACTTTGATGCCGGAGCCCAAAGCACCCAGCTTGCATTCGGCAGCTAAGTCCGCAGCTGTAGCATCGCAAAGTCTGGAATGCAGGCTGTGTTTCCAAGGCCGAAGATCCGCGGGACCGCTTCAAACTGATGTTGGATTTCAAGCGCACGGGCTACCCCGACGACCATTATCCTCAACCAGATGCTGGCAGCCCTGGCCAGCTTGCCTTCGCAGCGCTGCATTGGTCGAGACATGAGGTCGCCAATGCTTTGCGGGCCATGGAAAGCATGCGCTTCGTGGAGCAGCAAGCCCAAGTTGCAAAGGCGATCGCAGACAAAGCCGCAATACAACTCACCTACCTCATGGAATCTCCGTGCCTCAGAGGGGTGACGCAGCCTGCGAGCGCTGTGGCGGCCTTAGCCATCGCAGCTTGCCACTTACATGCTGTTCGAGACGCGGGATCAATGCTTTCACACTGTGGCTCTCAGGCAAGCACACCGCCTGACCTCCAAACAGGCCTTTGGCCAATGCAGTCGATGTGCCCCCTAGCCGCTCGGTCTTTTTGATATTATGACTTAGAGTCCGTGCTATGTGAGATATGTGTTTTCCGAGAAGTTCCGAGCTTTCATAAGCTGTCGTGACGAGGTCTTGCACATCGCTGCTTTGCGCTGCAGGACAGCTCGCGAGCAGACATGAGTATGGTTCCATCAGGCTGCAGTGCGCGTGTACTGTCTGCAGGACGCCTGAGCAGGACAGGCAGAAAGGCCTCCACTTTCTGTGACGTGCTGGCCAAAGTTGCCGAGTCCGTGCGGAGTCCGATATGCGATATGGCTGTGTACTCCAAAAGCGAAAGTGACAGTACTCAAAGCTCTCCTTGCTTGAAGCAACCGAGCGCGTGGCTTTGTAGACCTTCAGGTTGAGTATGGGTTTCATGCCTACCACACTCGTCTCTGGATTGCCAGCAACGTGCGTTCCTCAGGCATTGTTGGATGTTGCCGGGATTTTCACTTCCCCACCAATGCGTGGGATGCTCGACCTTTCACTCATTCGGTCCTAGCCCAGGCTCTCTCAGCGGCCTCCTTTACTTGGCCACGCCCCCAGGGCTTTATAGGGAGCCTGGGCATGGTTGGGCAACGGCAGCGGCACATGCTGGCATTCCGTGACAGATGCCAATGCCGCTAGATGTGTGCGTAACTCGCAGACGCGGCAGGGCGAGAGAAGCGCTGCGCTCGAGGGCATCCTATGCTTGCAGGCAGACGGTATGAGGATATTTTGTTGATGCAACCAAGGTGTCCCAAGGTTGTTACCAGCAAAATCTTTTCCACAGGAAACGCGATAAAGAAGAGCTCGAGATGAGTCGTGAATTAGGTGAATGTGTTCAGCTGCCTTCCGAATCCTCGCCTGACGCGTTCGAGAGCGAGCGCTGAGAAGACAGGGTTCGAGGCGGGGATCGCGTGCCAAGGTCCCACAGCAGCGCCTGGGCCTTGGATGTCCTGTTCGGTTTGCAAGAGGAGGGAAGAGGCTGCACTGAGGATGGGCTGCATCCCACACTTCCCTGTGCAAGGCTCGTAGAGCGTCTGCGTATGCTTCTGTCTATGGACCTTCAAGAAGGTACACAGACACACATGGCCGGAATGTGTTGAGCTCAACGTCCCGGACGCCAAGCTTACCTGAATTTCGCACTGCCTTGAGGCTGCCTGGTATGATGGGTCCTCCGCATGCTGTGCTTCGACTGCAGCCAAGCCTTTAATCGCCTGCGATTTCTCGGCGCCCGAAGGCCATGCAATCAGCTGCGCAAACAGGCGTCTCGGCTCAGCCGTTGAGGCTGGTGCGAGAGAGGGATGTGCTGAGCTCGCAGGCTTCTCAAGTCAGCCTCGAAGTTTGGGCTGCACCGGCTGCGGGGCATGTTCATCCCAGTGCTGCTGGCCAGAGGGTTGATGAATTCCAAGGTATAGGAGAAGCGGGACACTTGGCTACCGAATTGCGGCTATTTGCTGACCAGAAAGCGTCATAGGACTGTTGGATGCATTAACCACGGCGTGGACACGCCAGGGCCATGGGTGCTCAGCCTATGGTGGGTCTTCAGCTCGGCCTTGCTATATGCGTGTCAGCTATGGTGTCGGAATCTGTTTCGTTGTAGGCGTGTCTTGAGGGCAGATCTTAGCCAACGCATGTTACTGCCAGATGAAAGGGTGATTGGAGGGACGCTCTGCGATGTATGGACGCCTGGGCGGTCCATCTTCGCTCCTGACGATTTTGTCGAAAGTACGCCGTTTGAATGAATGTTTGCACTTCGGAAGCGGCAGTTCTTTCTGTCCTGCAAAGGCATCAACACCGGTCCGATGGCACCGGCAACGACCTGAAGTTGGTGTTGCCGCAAAATGTTGCGGAATGTTTCGTAAGCCATGAGGCTCACCTACATGGTGCGATGGGAGTGCCCATTAGAGGTGCGAACGATCTGCAAGCCTGTGCAAGATACGAGCCATGAGAGATCTTCACTGCAGGCCTGCCGACATTGTGCGGGACTTGGAGCTTTTGGTGCCTGGACAATCACGGCTGGACATGGTGGCAATGCGACTGGCCGCAGGGAGCATCAAGCAAAACCAAGGTGTGTTGTAAAGGCTCAGGGGTGTGTGATGCAAATCAGGTCCAGCGTTGCCGCCCATGCCTCAGCCGGATTTCACAGCTTCTGTGTGTTGCGAAAGCCAAAAGAGAGGACCCTAGGAGGCAGAGAGACTGGCCTCAAGCGTTTGCGGAAGTACACTTGTAGGTCTTTAGACTAAGCGGCTCCTTGGCCAATTTTGAACAACACCACCAGTCACCTGCCATTACTGTAGAGGATTCTTCCTGTACGCCTCTAGCATATCACCGCTGCTCGGCCAAGACAGGAACAGCCGATTATTTCATACATAATCTCAACCTTAAAATTATCATTCCCAAATTGGCAAAGGGTTCGTCATAGATTTTGTTTAGGCTTGGGGCCAGTGGCTGCGATGGTGCATGCCGGTTTCTACTGGTAGTCAACACATTGGCAGGTCCAGACAGTTTCACAAGCAAATGCTTAGAGATGTTGCGTAGCAGAGCATACAATCCTGTTGAGTTTTAACGTTCCACCATCGCTCCGAGTGAGCCTGAGCCCGCCAACGACGAGTGTGGATGGGCAGCAGCCACCGCTACCAGAGCGTGTTTGTCAAAGAGGGCGACATCGGTGATGATCTGTGGCGCAAGGCGAATCACGAAAGCTAGCGTAGCGAGGCATCTGCGTCAGCATCCCCCCCCGCTCAGCCAGACTGCAGGGACGGCAAGCGAAACAGAGCTGGCGAGGCGGGCTCCAGGCATCCTCACATGCAATCACACCGGAAACAGGTACGATAGGGCATCATCACCCACGTCAAAAACTCAGCAACAGCGTGCGTTCCCCTGGCCCCGCCCCTCAAGTCCTTGAACGATGAGCAGCTCGCCTACGTGAAGTTAGGCAACACGAACGGTGCAGAAACGGACTCTTTCAGGGCAGTGCCTGCAGACGTTAGCGGCGCGTTGACAGGGACACCGTGTTGACAGCCATCGTGAGAGATGGTGTGCCGGCCACATCATCACAGGCAGCTCATCCGAAGACATCCACTTGCCCGACTCGCTTTTACGATAGGAGGTTGGTACCTACCAGATGTCCTCGCTGGGGTTGAAGGTGTTGCTGGGGTGCATGTTTGGCGTTTTTTTGATGTTTTTACGGTGTTGGACCATGACAAAATATGGCGCATGCGGTTTTGGCCGGTTTAGGGCAATTTCGGAGCGTTGCCGACCTGTGCCTGACGCCGACGGGTAACGTTTCGAGCCGACTTGGCCTCGTCGCACACGCATCTTTTGGCCAAAAGAGCCCTGATCCTTTCAATCTTCGCGGTTCGCCTTTGCTGGATCGATCATGTTTCTGCCGAACAGGGCCTTCAATAAAGTATCAGTATAAAGGATACTCGAAGGATTTTAGCCTTTTGCCAATGAGCAGAGCTGCTTGGATTTGCTCTGCGGATTCTTTTTTTATTTTCCTTCCACAGGGCCCCGAATATTGGAATTAAAATTATCGGATATTCCAAAAAGAGCCCTCGACTGCAGAGGAGAGGTACCTGTTCGCAACCATCCGGATGGAAGGAAGTGGACAAAAGAAATTCGTCCGTGTGTCTTTGCGTTTTCTTGTCTGGGAAGTTTAACTTGTTTCGGTATTGCATGTGTTACCAGCGAGGGGAGGGGCGAATGCCAGGCCGCACAGCGAAGGGAGACCTGGTCATTTACGAGTTGTTCCTCGTGTGTGCAATTTACCTGAGGCACAGGAGCCAGCAGCAAAGCGTTCCAAGCTGGATGCGACAATTGCCACATGAAAAACAGCTGGACTCAGTTGCTGCAACCTTCTGCGCAGTTAAGCAGTTAAGCATCTGCTCCGATTGCAGCTTTCGCAGCCGCCGGTAGTTGGCAAGACGGGTTCGCCCGCGAAAGCGTGTCACACGGAGATTTCATTGAAAGCTTGCCGTCAGTCCTAGCTCATGCCGACTCCTACAAAGACCCTTCCCGCTCATTCCTGGCATTTAGTCGTCGCAGATTGCACCCAATCACAAGCAAGGTGAAGAAGCAACAAATAGAAGGCTTGCTTCTGTGCACAGCATTGCCTTGTTTACCTCATGGGCCGTTGAAGCAGCCGTGTTTCAAATGGCGGTCGCTGACTCTGTAACTGCTCGGCCTGTGGTAGTGGTCGTGCCAGAAAGCGAGACGTTCTCAGGTGCTCCAGTCTCCAACAGGCGTGGTGGTGTCTGCTTTATGTTCACACGTGAGTCTTTGTGACGCACTGCATTGTGCCCGTGCAGGGGTAAATGCCGCTGTGCCCGCAACTGAACTCCGCGTGGATGCAATAACGTGCAAGATGTCCCAGATGCGGAGGCCAATCATGATTCAGAGGAGTGTTACAGCTCCGCTTGGGCCGGCGCCTGTGTAATCTGTGCTGACATTGCATGCACTTTCCTCATGTGATCGTAAGGCCAAGCCCAGCCCAGGCTGTTGCGAGGGTCCAAGACAGAACGGTCACGGTCACAGTAGTGCTGTTTTTGACTTGTGCACGCGTTCAGGCCGCAAAACCAGTTTACCGCAAGCAGAGCTCCATGCCAGTGGTGAGAAACTTAAATCTGGATGTTCGAAAGTCTGCCGGAATGAAGCGGGCATTGTAATTGTCCCGAGGCACAACCGGTAGCAACAGGCTTACCGGCAGGCAGAAGACACCAAGGGCTTCCATGAGCACGGTGTAGTCTTCCATCCAAAGCAGTGATGCCCCAGTAGAAGGGAAGCTTCATGAAGCTCTACCTTTCAGGACCTGCGGCTCCAGCAAGGTCAAGAGCAGCAACACAGGAGACCTTCGAACTTGTTATTCAATGAGATGTTTCAATCCTGTGAAGGATGAGTTGAAGCCGCTCTGGTCTGCTGTGGTCTGGGGCTGATGCTGTTCGTGAACAGACCACCTTGCGGCCGACCTTGTTGTCTTGCTGGACAGGTGGCTGGAAGGACTCCTGAGGCTGAATTTCCAGCGCACACGTTCCTGATTGCGTTTCTGATTGCCCCGTGCGAGGCGTTCGTGAAAGCGAGGTCGCCGGTGGCCGCCGTTGCTCCCAAAGCTCCGGCAGCCCCTGCAGTTCCCACTGCTCCAAGCGCACCAGTTGTCCCCGCTACTGCTGCTCGCACTTCATGGGCGAGCCTTACTGAAGGAGCTGCAAGTGGATACTCTGGGCATTCACTTGCATGCGCTGGCCGTTGTAATGCACTTCCTGAGGACGTCGTGATCCTTAATTTGACATTCCGCAGCTAATGTGCTCAAGGCTTTTGTGGCTATGTGCACAAAAGACCATGGAGGAATACTAGCGATCACTGACCGCGTGCCCCATCTGCAAGTCGCTTTGCTTATGGGAATGTTGTACATTGTACTGAATTGCAGCAGCGCAAGGCCAGATTTACGCCCACCCAAGGTTAGATTCTTCGCCGATGGCTGAAGAGGTTTCTGGCAATCAACCCGTGCTTCGGGTGAAGAAGACTGCCTCCTTCCGGCTGCCTGAGGATGCAGAGCTCCCTGAAGAAGAGGAACTTGAGAGCAAAGCCAGCAAACCAGCGATGCAGGGCGAGGGAGTGGCCAGGGTAGGCCACAACCTGCCAGCCGAGCCTGCAGGGCGTGCTGAGGAAGTTGCGCCTGCGCCTACAGCGGAAGAAGAGGATGCGCCAGCTTTCTCTTGGTCACGAACCGCAGGTGGGGCTTAGTCTGAATACGCAGACTCTGGTTGCTTCTCAGCCTTTTGTGCGTCAAGGCGAGTCAGGCGCAGATGAGAAGCAAGCGGCTGCACGCTTGCTGGCAGAATAAGTTGCTTCATGTGTCTGTCTTGTCGGACGTTGAGACGTGTTGAGCAGGCCATATCTGTTCAGGGTGTTGCCATCGACTAGTTCTTGCAGGACCAGGATCTTCGCTTTGGCAGTTGGAAGTCCTGCCATCTCGGGCCAGTGACGGGAGTGGGCCTCATACCATGAAGTGCTGTTCACGGGAAGCCCCCTGCCCTGTGACCAAAGTGTTATGCAATTTGCTAGCGTGTGAGAATGGGCGTATTCTCGTCATGTCCTAACCGGAGTCGCAGCTCGCCCGCTTTCGTTTTCGGCATAAGGTGTATCGAAGTTTCTGAAGGCCCATCCCCGGAGCAATGCCACAAGCTTCGACTTGAAAGCTGAGCACGGAGGCAAACGTGTTGAGGCCTTTGAAATCCTTGGGAATTCTGAAACTCGCGGCAAGCGGTGCTCCGCTTCATCGGCCGAGCAGGGGTTGAACAATTTGATTGTTTTGTTTATCGAGGATTCCCGACTCTCTGAGCACTTGGCTGGGGTTCTTCGGTCGGTCCCACCGTCATCAGTTATCATCTGGACTGGAGAAGGCAGCGGAGGGGGGGGTTCTTATGCCGGACGTAGTGCCAGCATGGGCCAAGCGAGAAGCCGAGGCGAATTTGTCGCGTTCGCTGCCTTCCGCTGGGGTCTGCTCCACGAGCTGTTCATGGACGAGTACAAGAATGGGGCGGCACTCGGCGGAGAGCTGCTCAAGGCCGAGTGGAGCTTGATATAGCACAGCCTTGAGCACAGTCTGTCTTGTTTCGTTAAGGATGCGTATCTGTGCTACAGCGAAGGAGAAATTCCATGTGTGTGTGTGTGTGTGTCATACAATCTTTGTATGCGGTGGGCTAGCACCAAACCGAGACGTGTGCGGCCCACAGAGGTCAATAGGCTTGCCCTTCGCTGTCTTGCTTCCAAAGATTGGGCAGCTTCAAAGCAACAAGCTCGCTGAATGCGCGAATCGAAGACAGACTCATGGAGCATCCGCGTTTCCATTTCTGACAGGGGCCTGCCTTGCATATTTAGTAGACCATTAATAATCAAGGTACGACTGCTCGGCAACCTTGGCTTTGCTGGAGACGCTTTGGCCGTTTTCCGGCATATTGCGGCTTGCTGCGATTCGTTTTCAGGGCTTGCCTCGTTCTTGGGCTTGTGCGCTTCCGGGTTCTGCCACAACGTCAACATGTTGACTGTTCGGGCTCTGAGTGTTGGAGGGAATCAGTTTCATTAACAGTAATCTTCGCTTGGTGGCCGTGCTAATTCCTTGGGCTCAAGATCCTACTGTAGGTGTTTTTCGCTTAAGGCATGTAACTTTAAAGTTGTGGAAGACTTTTCTGGTATGCTCGCCTTGTCGAAGCTTACCGCCACCAACTTCTCAGAGTGTCAGCGGCTCGCGAGGTGGAAACTTTCCCGAGCGAGGAGTCGGAACGACAGCTCAGGCAACTTGGCGCAGAGCATGCAGAGAGCATGCAGAGAGCATGCAGAGCTCTCCGGCAGCACGTCGCCAGGGCGGCAGGTGTTGACAGCCGCAGCGTCATGACTTTGGCACAGCTCCGACGCTTCGAGGACGTCATGAGGCTTCATGTTCGTCTCTCACACGACCGAGTCTTTACACTATCAGAAGCAACATCAAGCGTTCAGCGTTCAGGAGGAAATGTCGGTCAAACGGCTATCCCTCTCGGTACAAGATGAGGGTTCTCCATCGTGGCAGTTCGCACACTTCTTGAAGAGTTCTGGCAGCATGAGTAACCCCCGTGCCATACTCCTGCGCTTTGCGGTGCTTGCCTGCTGGATCGATCGATGGAGACCTGTACTGCCTCTGCTGCTGCTGCTGCTACTACTACTACTACTACCACCACTACTACCACTACCGCACGTGTCGGAAACCGTTGCGCATTTTTTGTGCAAATAGGTGTTTCGCCACAGCAGGAGCGCAATTTATGATTCAAAACGATCCCTGAATAAAAGTGCTGTTTTCATAGCTAGATTTGTGAAAGCCCTGGCAGGCGTGGCACTTTGCGTGATTCGGCGTATCCCTTTTTGGGGTCTTGTTTTAAGTGGGGTCGAAAAGGCAAAAACACCGCGCACAGCGAGGTTTTCGTGATGGCAGTGTGCAAACACGTGCCTTTGTAGTTTAACAGTAACCCAAAGCTTGTGTTTTTCTGGTATTTAGACTCGATGAAGAATTTCCCAAATGCGCTAGCAACACACTCGCGTCGTACGGCAATTCGTAATTGGGCCCTCGTTTTGAGACCCCACGACCGTAATTCGTAACTAGCAACCAGTAATCACCCAAGCTAACTTGTTGCAAGCATTAACTCTGCAAACACATACTTACACATGCTGCGCAGCGAAAACCACAACCTCAGATAACAGATTTCCTCCTTCATTCCCTCCTTCTCCCCTCCTCCACTCAAGTCCTTGTCTGTCTGGTCCCGTCGAGTTACTAACACTCTGCGCCGCCATGGGCTGCTCTTTCTGCAGATGAGCTTTTTCTGGAATATTCTAGCCCTGGCTGGCAGTTGCTCGCGCTTGATGTGATGACACAGGCGCCCAAAGCTGCATAAAAAGCCTTGACAGGCCCCTAGAGCCCACGAGTGGATCCTTCGTCCTGTCACTGCTGTGATTTCAGCGCTGACTACACTGGCACCGAGTGCACAGTTACGAGTCATCCGAGATCGCAGACGTTGGCGCTGTCTCCGCTGATACAGTTGCGGAACATTGGACGAACCGACCTGACACGGGCTAAAGACCTGTCATCTGTCTCTAGAGGAAATCTCCATCAGAGCGGTTTAGAAATGACCTCTGACATTGCGGCCTCAGCTGGATCTGCACTGCACTTGTCTGGAACATTGTGATTACGACCCTGAGACCTGTTCTTTTAGGCATCAAGCCTGGGCGATGCCGCTGGTACAAAAACCACGACCTCATGTCCTTTCAGATATAACCCGAAACAACGAAGTATACCCTAGCCCAGACGGTAACACATGAGAACGCTGTGAGTGGCTCTCCACTGGTGTTTTGACTCTTGCATGAGTGAGGGCAAGAATTCTCAATTAGTAATTTGATGCAGACGGCTTTTGCCGTCTTCGTCTTGCAAGTTCCGTGCATAGTCCAACTGGAGACTGGAGCAGTTAATCTCCCCTCAGGGAATTCGTTCGGGCTACGGGAGGGTTCAGCTTCAGGCCCCCGTTAGACACCAGAAAACCGACGTCGGCACTGGCTTTACTTTTTTCGGTTGAGAAGCATCGGTTCAACTTCGTTAGATAGGAAAGATTCATGCGAGTTGATTGGAGGAGATATTCGCATGATGTTATTTAAGGGGCAAAGCCCAAAGTCAGGCTCGTTTCAGGGGAAGGGGAAGGGCGCGCGGACCCTGGCCAGCATCATGAGCATGCATGCGCGCGGCCCGTCCCGCCTGGTCCCTCCCTGTCGCCCCCCTGGCCAGCATCATTGCGCGCATGCGGGAGCCTCCTTTGAGGCCTTGAGGCCTTGCAGTGAGCATCATCAGCATCATTGCGCACGCGTGGGCACCAATTTGAGGCCTTTCGGTACACCCCCCGACCTCCGAAACACATCGGCCGGCGCATGCCTGCGCCTTATGGGCCGCTGCGCACGCGCTGGGTGCTCATGATGTTTGCCGGGTGCCGCCGAGAAATGAGGGTCCCATGATGCAGGGGTGAGCAGCATTGGCTTCCGCTGCATGGCTAAAGCCAGGGCCATGCCCTGCGACAGTGCCGCCGACCCCCAGGTGGTGGTTGACCTGGGGTACCGAAGGGATGTGAAGGAAGCTGTCTGTCTGAGCCACGCTCTGTTCCTGCCAGGCGGATAGAGATAGCTATACACAGATACAACTTGGTAGGCATCTATGTAAGACTTACTAAATTCTTAGACGAGACGCACATCCTCGCATGGTTGTGTGCGCTTACACACGAAGACAGATTGGTGTACGCGCATGTGGATCTTGACGCGGTGCGCAGGCAGGTGGCAGGCGTTGGTAGGTAGGCATGTGTAGGGAGCTGGGTAGGTAGTTAGGTAGGTAGACAGGCAGGACGGCAGAGGTAGGTCGGTGGGTAGATGGGTGGTGGGTGAAGGTAGGTACGTAGGTAGCTAGGCAGGTAGGCAGGTAGGCAGTAGCAGGTAGGACGGCAGATCTGCGCCGAGCTAAAACAAGACACCAGATTTGCGCCGAGGTAGGATCGGTAGGTAGGCAGGTGGTAGGAGGGTGGGACGGCCAAGGGCAGCTGGGTAGGCAGATGGCAGGGCTGCGTGTTCGACCGGCGTCTTCCTAACAAGTCTAACTCTGATGCGATCTCCTGCAATGCTTTTGCCTTTGCCGTTGCCTTGGCGGGCTTTGGTGCTAGCTAATCAGCGCCTTGCTTTGTGACCCTGTGTTGAGTGGAATCCTTTGCTTTTCTGGAAAAACATGGCAATGGCATATGGTCTGGCATGCATCCAAACACCAGCCACACAGACACCGTGTCAGCATCCAGCCCCTAAACCCCACACCCTCACACGGGGCATTAAAAGTCGCAGCCCGGGTACGCGGACTTCGTGTGCACAGAGTGCGAAGGGCAGTGTCCTTTTCCCTCTTGTATGAATCCTTTGCTTTTCTGGAAAAACATGGCCATAGTGTTGGTCTGGCATGCATCCAAGTACGCACACCCTCACGCGGGGCATCGAAAGTCGCAACTCGGTACGCGGGCTTCGTGTGCGCAGAGTGCGAAGGGCAGTGCTTCCTTTCCCTCTTGGCTGTGCAGATAACCTGACAAGTCTAACTCTGATGCGATCTCCTGCAATGCTTTTGCTTTTGCCGTTGCCTGGGCGTGCTTTGGTGCTAGCTAATCAGAGCCCTGCTTTGTGACCCTGTGACCAGGCAAGTCCGGGCGGTTTTTCTTTCAGCGCAGGGCAGGGAATGCCTCCGAGCAACCTGCAATGCAGCACTTTGCCGAAGTTCATCATAAATCACTGCTCAACAAACACGACCAGAGTACTTGACCAGCTCAGTGGCAGGACATTTTCTCTGCTGAGCAGCCGCAGCGGCATGATACTGCTTGCACGCGTTCTAGTTCTCGTACAGTGATCGTTCATATCAGTCGACGAAACTAGGGTCACCAGACCAGAACGCTCAGCACAAGTGAGGCAAATCCTGTTCATCTATGCGACATTACGCGACGTGTTCTGGTGGGGCTTTCTAGGATCCTGGTTCTTTGAGATACACACGGGATGGAACAAAATACAGGCAGTGGTAGACTGTGAGCCGGAGATGTTGTTGCCCCAAGGAGAAGCCGACAGAACTTGCAGCAGCCTAAGTTGCATAGCCCGAGCATAGGCTGGCCTGCAATCCGTAGTATTGAGGGGGAGGCTGTGGTTGCGCAGGCTCCGGGCATGGCGGTTGGATCTGGATGTGAAACAAACTGGGACGGTCTCGTTCCCTGACTTCGCGCAGCCCGGACTTGAGGGTTCGGGCGACTTTCGTTGCAAAGCTGTCGGCAGACCGGAAGCACTCAACGAAGATCGGGGATGTGCACTTGTCGAAGTGCCTGTATGTGGCTTGCAAGGAATGCTTGTCGCCGGCTTGGGCTACAGGGTCAATGCCGTATGATCTGGACATCGCTCCGCCCGCTTGATGACAAAGCTCTCGAGTCGCCTGACTGTAAAAAGCCTCGTGCTCAGAGCTCCCAAGAGTTAGGCCGATCGCCGCACGTAGCCTCGGATCCACGTGGCGGTACACTTTTCATAGCCGAAGGATGTGTTATTTTTGTATAAGGCCGGGATGAAGTCGGACCGCTCGGGGGTCTATGTATTCCGAAAGCCTTCCGTGCCCGAACTTGGACCGAACAGCTGCGCCAGGGTTGGCGAGAGTGCTGCGACACGCGCGAGCTGAGGTTTGCTGACCTTGCGCCCAATGAAGCTGCTCACGTTGAGGCTTTTGCAGAGATGATTTGGGAGGACACTTGGTTGCACGATGGAAGCGGCGGACATCTCTTCAGCCGGAAGACTGTCTGGAATCCGAGGCTTCTGGCTATGACTTGGACAAAGCTCGGCTGCCTGCGTTGACGTCGACAGACTCTTCCACTCTGTGCCCAGCCGGAATGCAGGCCTGGCGCTTGTTCGACTACGACCAGAAGAACAAGCTGACAAAGGCGCCGGACGAAGCCCACAGGCTGCAGCCAACTAGAGTCTTGGTCAGGCAGACTTCGTCCAGAGTGCACGTCACCTGGGCTTCCAAGGCAGTGCTGTCAGATCCCAAGAACCCAGCTCGTGGTCCAACGGTTGTGTGCCTCATGGATTTGGTGAGGATCTGCTGTTCAAAGGCTTGGACGCAACAGGACTAGGCTGCATGCCTGCATTACAATGCATTCTGGATGAGATGGGGTCATTGCCACATGTGGCACGCCCGGGCTACACAGGCTGGGTGTGGCGGGATGATTTCGACTACATCCCAAAGGCACTGGCGCGCCAGGAGTTGTGGACCTGCTTTGGAATGCCACGTGCAGGTGTCGCAGGTCGCGCGGCAGAGGCTGCATGGCGCTGAAGGCCCGGAGCTTTGAGAGTTCTCAGACCACAACCACAGAGCCCCGCAGCTTCGAGCCTTTGAGGACCTTTGGCCTGCTCCTAAGACTTCCAGAGAGATTTTCCGAAATCGTAGAACTGGCGGGGAGTTCGACGCTTCGCACTGAGGCTGGCCTGGTCCGCTTTGCTCAGCGCGAGATGGGGGGTGCTGAGGCCGGCGACTCCGACGGCCAAGGCGGCCCTGGCCAAAAGCCGAAGTTGAACAAATCGGGGTGGCAGGAGCTGATTTCGAAGCTTGGCCTTGGTGGCGCACAGAGCGAGGCCGGTGTAACTGTGGAGTGTGCACGGGATATGAGAAGCGAGTTAGGTCACAGTCTGCGATCTTGCGGCCCGCCTGACGGCCCTCGGATACGACGGAGATGCACAGCGCGTGGCTGTGCATGCAGCGAAGCCACTTGCATGCAAGCAGACGAGTCCATACCTCCCGCAGGTCGTCGTCTCGTGTTGCCCAGGTGCGACAGCGGAAGTGGCACCAATGTGTCATCAGAGAAGCTGTACAGAATTCTAAGTGCCCAGAAGAAGGAGAAACCCTGCGCTTCCGACCGAAGCAACCTCAGCTTTTTCATGTATGTGCATGTTGCCAGCATGTGTACACCAGCATGCATGCTGCTTTCACGTAAGGAGCAGAAGCGCCAGCAGCAATTTCTCCGAATGTCTACATGCGAAAGCGTTCTACTGGCACAGGCCGTTGCCGTTGACGCATCGACACCTCTTTTAACGGGTTGAGTTGAATAATGGGGGTTGAGTTGGACCTGCAAGGTGTGTCGGCAAAGTTGCTTGCGAAGAAGAAGCCGATGACTCCGGCTCCATGAAAGCATTTCTGTTTCTGGTCACCTCAGGAGCAATTGAAAGTGAGTTATGCAATTGTAGTGCTTTGCTGCTGGATGATTCTTCCTTTGCACCCAAGGTGTCGCAGCACCCTCCATGGAACAGCAGCATGCAGGATCGGACAGGCGATTCGAGATCGCCTCAGGCGGTGAGCACAAGACTTAGAATTATCCAGCTTCGCCACATGGACTCCAAGGAACAAGCTGCACCCAAACCTCAGAAAGTATTTCTCTGATTTCGATCCAGAACACATACGGAAGAAGCAGGCGCATCAGTTCAGAACGCAGACGTCCACCTGTGGTGTGTCAGAGAGCAATGCCAGGCTGCAAGTCAGGCCATGAAGGAGGCTGAACGGAGCTTGGAAATGTCTTGCGCGACTTCAAGTGGAGGCACACTGCTCAGTGTAACAATCTGAGGCAAAGACTTCCTCCAAGTTTTCGCCGCCAGCCAGGACAAGACCCCAGGGGTTAAGATTGGGATTGCTGCTATTTCGCACACCTTTGATGCAAAGATCCCTTGACAAGCAGGGCTTCCACGACTTCGAGATCATCTGCAGCACGGCAGGCGCACAGTGAGTGCAGACATGTGCACACACATACATGGAGTGTCGGCTTAGAGCGCGTGACCCAGGCCAAGCCGAACTGGATCACATCCTTGCCGGCAGAAAGCGAGAACACACCAAGGGCGTGCAGGCACTCCGAAGATGTCATGGGCCAATGCAAGAAGTTCCGCTGCCCGCCAGCAGCAGCAACAGCAGCCGCTCCAACACCGCCATCGGAGTGGTTGGGTGGGAAACCCTGAAACCCTAAAAGGCGTGGGTGGGTCGCAAACCCTGAAACCCTCAAAGGAGTGCGTGGGTGGGAAACCCTCAAACCCTAAATGGAGTGGGTGGGTGGGAAACCCTCAAACCCTAAACGGAGTGGTTGGATGGGAAACCCAAACCCTGAAACCCTAAAACGAGTGGGTGGGTGGGAAACCCTCAAACCCTAAAAGGAGTGGGTTGGTGGGAAACCCTGAAACCCTAAAAGCCGTGGGTGGGAAACCCTCAAACCCTAAAAGATCCTAAAAGGAGTGGACCCTGAAACCCTAAGAGGAGAGGTGGGAAACCCGAAAAGGAGTGGGTGGGTGGGAAACCCGCAAACCCTAAAAGGAGTGGGTGGGTGGGAAACTCTCAAACCCTAAAAGGAGTGGTTGGGTGGGAAACCCAAACCATGAAACCCTAAAAGGAGTGGGTGGGTGGGAAACCCTGACACCCTAAAAGGAGTGGGTGGGTGGGAAACCCTCAAACCCTAAAAGGAGTGGTTGGATGGGAAACCCTCAAACCCTAAAAGGAGTGGACCTTGACACCCTAAAAGTAGAGGTGGGAAACCCTCAAACCCTAAAAGGAGTGGGTGGGTGGGTGAGTGGGTGGGTGGGTGGGTGGGTGGGGAGCAACAGGAGTTCTGGGCGCACCGACCATCTTGGGCGTACTAGTACTAGTACTACTCCTACTACTACTACTACTACTACTACTACTACTACACCACTACTACGACTACCACTACTACTACCACCACCAAAGCGTCTGGGCCCAAACTAATTGAGTTGCCCGGGGATTTTAGGGGTGTGCTTGGCTTCTCCTGGGTTTCTTCTTCTGTCATTCAGGGCTTGTCTGCTGCTGGTAGTCTATGTCCGCATGGTGCTGCCCGTATCGAATCTCGCTGCTTCTGCCGCTGGTGTACACTCTACTTCTTGCTCAGCAGCACAGCGCTGGTTGGACGGTCAGATTGCGGGCTCCTCTGAGAAGCCTCTCAACTGCAGCATCAGACTCAGGGGCATTCGTTTCTCATCGAACATGCTGGATACGACGTCCGCGACTTGCAGGCATCCCACACAAGCCGACGCTAAGCGTGAGCTGCGGGCACTGGTTGGATCAAAGCCCGGCATGGCCATGGATCGCTCCAAGCACGTCGTTGCCTATCCGAAGGACGCAACGCTGGACCTCAACGCGATGGACTAAGGACAATGCTGCTCCTGAGTTGCATTATGATGTTAGGACTGCAAACGGGCTTGCCACATTGCCGCGCCACTATGTGGCCCCCCGGGGGCTCCTTCCCGCTCCCCGCCGTGCCCGGCTAGAACACAGGTGTCGACGCCTTCCATTACACCCGGCGCGGAGTCGGAGGTCGCCCTCCGCCCGCTGCAGTGTCCCGCCTTGGCAGTGGTTCTGTGCAGCAACCTTTGTCAGTAGGACGGCCATTTTCACGCCTGAGCTGCACCCTGTAGAGCCCCTAACCTCACTTCGACACCCTTGGGAGTGCCTCCCGCCTACCCCATGCCACTTGGCACACTCGCGCGGCACCCTCTCGCAGGTACTCGACTTGTGTAGCCGGGGGCTGCGGCGCTCCACTCGCCGGCTGTCTGCAGGAGACATGCACTGCCCAGGATTCACTGGTCCATCCCCCACCTGGATAAGTTTAGGTCTCGGCATAGATGACTGCATTCGTGGATCACTGCACCGCCCCCTCGCCCCAGCTGATTTTGCATATCTCGCCGCTGTGGGTTCGCGAGGCAGGATTCTTCGGACGCCCGGGTTTGGGGTTCCCTCTGGTTCCGGGTGTGAGCCCCTCCAAGGTTCTCTGGATTTAGGTTCCCAGGACTCACGCACTAGCCTTTGCAGGGCTACGCTCATGCCTAGGACCGATAAACCTTTGGCAATTCTCCTGCAGTCTTGTGGTAGTCTTCAGGGCTGTGTCAGGGCTGCTCAGGGCTGTGTAGGTGCCTCCAGCAGTGCTTCAGTGCCCGACGCACTCATGGCCCGTAATCGCAGCGACCGACCGCGTGGCTCTAGGGCAGGCAGAGGAGGCAGGAGGAGGCGGCGACCGAGAGACACCGCGAGGGAAGCGGAGAGGCCGCCGAAGCGCGTGCGCAGGGAGGCAAACCCGTCAGCAGGTGCCGCGGGTGAGTCAAGCTCGGCGGAGCTGGATGCCATAGAGCCCAACACGGAGGACAGCTCCATAGAGGATGGTGCGGAGATGGCCACAGGCTCGGGCAGGCCGATCACGGCGTTTAGCGCACCGCTGTCACCAGCACCCGCTACGCGGGTAGCAGAGGCACTTGAGTATGCATCGCTCCGAGACTTCCTGCAGGAGGAGCCGGCAGAGGGACATTTGCGCAGTGAGCTTCCTCCGGATAAGTTTGTGGCGCTTGCTCGCTTGATGGGTCGATCCCTGGGATCTACTGGAGCTGGCAGTGGAAGGTCTATGCCATCGGCCCGCGAGACCACGAGCTCTGGCCCTGCATCTTCAGGCTCGCGACTGACGCCGTTGACCGGGACGGGCGATGCCGTAGTATCCCAGGTGCTTGCACCGGTGAGCGCTGGTGAGTTTGGAGACGCCTCTTCGGCTGTGGTGGGGCTGACCTCAATGACTGGCAAAGTGGGATCCTTCCGCCCAGCTGTTGCTCTCCGTGAGGACGTCGAGGTCCCCGACTTCATCCCGATGACGCCGGCGACTGCAATGGCACCTCCGCTCAGAGAGTACTTGAGGCCCACGCCGAAAATCCGAGGGCGTCTCGGTGGATCCACTCGGGAATCCGGGCCGTCTCCATCGGGGTCAGCTGGAGCATTGGACGTGCAGGACCCTTTAGTGCTGGAATCGTCCGATACGGAGCCACCGACTACTGCAGCTGACGTCGTCCTGCGCAACCTCAGACCATGCCGGCCTGATTTGATCACGACTGCACCGCGCACCGAAAGCTCACCACCTTCGCCCGACCTCCTCATCACTCAGCGGTACGACTCACTGTTCATGATTGCTCAGGCCCAATACCGCATGCAAGCTGATGGCGATATTGTCTGGAATGCCGGAGGCACGGTGACACCACCGGATGCCTTTCTCTTCACCGAGGATGATGAAGCGTTCTGGAGCAGCCGTGAGGTATACATGTTTGCGTGCAGGGCTATGCTGGGGTTTAGAGCCTGTGCGTCTGCCCACTTAGGTTTCTTGGGGATGTCCCGTATTTCCCTCTCTCCTTGGACCTGGTGTAATCCCACCCCGCTGGAAGCCCCCACATGCCACTCCGGGTACGCGTTACGTGGCCCTTGCTTCGACAGGAGATTTGCGCCGTGCCGAGTGGCGCCGGGCTCGCAAACAGGCACCGCCGGTCGTGTGCGGCCTCTGTGTCGCAAGTTCTCTGGTATGATGCTGTTATGGTCCCAGCGCAGGGTGGATTGGTATCATGCACTATTTGCCTCCCTTCCCACGTGGCGGTATCTACCTACTCTACCTTCGCCCCTACTCGCACACCCATGCCTCCGCGGCCTCGCGTTTGCAAGGGGCGCCCCGCGGCGCAGCGCAGCATGCGGCAAGCATTGCAGGCCCTTGATTAACGGAGGTCATGAGCTACACCCGAGGGGCCTAGCGGGTTTCTCCGTCTGTGCACGTGGCCTGACGCTAGCAGTGCACCGTATATTGCACGGTCCGCATGTTGCGGTTGCATGGGCAAGTCATATTCCAGTTCATGACATCATACCAGCTGCCATCTCTCTCCGGATGCATAGACACTGGCACGTACCTGTCATGTTGCGATGTAGGCGTTTCCAAACCCATCCATGGACTCAGCAGTGGCGTCAAAGGCACAGGCGATGCAGGGGCACCGCACGAGGTCACCATGTCTCTGGAGGCTGGATCACCTCATGGATCACTCCATGTGGGAGTGCCGCCTCTGCTCCTTCACTGGGTCGGATCGTGCGGCACGTGGATGTGTACTCTCCACGACAGCTCTTAGCGGCAATCCTGATCACAGGCCGCGGCCACTGGTGGCTACCGCTTCAGGCTGCGTCGACGTGGGGTCTAGTTTGTCAGGAATTCATTCACCTGTATAAACAACACTCCAATAGGACCGCCTGGTGGGCCAGTGCCATTTGCGCAGTCGCGCCCAGCCGGCGTCCCTGCCAGTCCACGCCTCAAGGGATCCAGCAGCTTCGCCCCACCGTGCACTCTGATCCTACCTTACACCCAGGAAGCCTCGCTATCTATCTAGCACACATTGATTCGATCACTCGGCAATTAGAGGTTTCATTTAGCACCCCATTGCGAGCCCGAGTGATCTCCAAACACCCCCGACCCCATTTTGGCTCCCCCGGTCCCAAGTCCGGGGGGTGTGGTGGTAAACCTGGTTACTGCACACTCTACTCGGTAGGGTTACTACTTCTACAAGCTCGAGTAGCTGGAGCTGTCAC